TTTTATTTCAGAATACTGAAATATAGAATTCAGAAAATCAATTTTAAATTTAATTTCTGATAAAAATATTAACACAGCACTATTTTAAACTTTGTCCCCAGTGTTTCGCGTCATTCCCTCACAACAATAATCTTATCACCTGCAATCTTCTTAGAATAAAAATGCAGGTGTAAACAGCGTTAATAAGTGGATTTTGGAAGGATGCAGTAAGAACGTAGCTTATGCCAATTAGAAACAGATTAAGATCTGAAAATTGTTAAATACCAGCAAACCTTTCCAGATCTCTTTCTATTGGATAGAACAATGCAACTAATGCTGCCGACTTTATATGCTTTATGGGAAAATTTGTTTAAGCCAAGTTAATATTCGAATGTATGCTTTGTTTCGTAAATATGATTTAATCTCTTCTCTCACCAGTTTTATTGAAGAAAAAAAATTCAAAAATCAACATATTTCTTATTTTTATTTATAACGGCAAGAAACTAAAACAAAACATATAATACAAGTTGTAAGTTGAAATTTTAATTTTTTTTTATGAGTAAGAAACATTTAATTTACCATCAGTTTACTATCCTAAGTTATCTCGGGCAAATGGAAAAAGTCAAATATTAGTCTGTATCAGACCAACTGAAAAGTATTTATAGTTTGAGCAGCGATCCTATTAAATAAGAAAGACACACTGATAAGTAGCAACAAATTGCGTAACTTTCGACCACTGTTATCTTATATTTGTGACTTGATAATACCGAAAAATACGTGCAAGCACTGTGTTGATTCATGATGTAGTATAAATATAGCAATGAGCATTAGCGATTCAGATTTAACTTACTTAGGCGTCATTAATTGCAATATAGTTTTAAGCAGTATCATATCCTTGATAAAAAAAGAAATATAAAAGACACACAACAATATTTGAAGGCTCTATCTGAACAGTGGTACAGCTTTACTAATTAAAAAATTGGAGTTAAATAAACTTGGAGTTGTACAAGCCATTTCCATCGTATTTTAATACTAGTACACCTTTGACTTATTTTTGATAAACAATGGACATCACAAATCAGAAAATATAGGGAAAATAATACATTAATTAGACTTCAAGATTTTGAATCTAAAAATGCAATTAGAGCTATCTACAAATAAGGTCTTTAATTTATTGTTCCTCCCTCATCAACAACAGACAAGTCTGTCGTCTAGCAACAATGGTTTAACTGTTTCGGTTTGAATGTATATGTTTGCCTCAAAAGTAAGGTGATCTCCGAAACAAGGAAGAAAGCTCACCCAGCAGGGAAAGTTCTTTTACTTAACAAGCTCTACTTTGGGTATGTTTGAGAACGAGAAAGCCTCTTTGCACGTTATGGAATCGGTTTTGGTTTGTATTCAGAAGTCCTTTTTATTATATTATATTTACGTTTCTGATTTAAGCATGGTTAACAGATAACTTAGCTACGTCACAAAATAAAAATTAGACTAGTTGTCCATTTATAGTTTTGTAACGCGAATGAATTATTAGGCTATGTTTTTCAATAACTAAACCCTTCTGAACCGTTTACATAACATCTATAAAGAACAGCAATTAATGTATGCAGAGACTAGCATTTAAAAAAAAAAAACAAATAGGGTAAACCAACCAGAGAAGGAACACTACCCAGTGAAGGAACATTTCATAGATATTGATTAAAAATAAGAATTTGAAAGTTTTTCTTTAGATTGATTGGTAACAATAGCTTACTGCCAAACAATAGGAAGTTATCTAGCAATGTTTTGGATTACCTTGTCAAATAGACTTCTCTGGAAAAAATTTTGAATTTGTTACTATCTCTGCAACACCTTGTTTCTTTGAAAAAATTATAAGCTGAGTGTTTGTATTTATATGTTCGAAATGGAATTAATTGCATGTAATAGTTTTATTTTTCTCACTGTGAAAAAGAGAATTCAAAATATAGTTATTGAAGTTACGTTTTATTTTTTTTAAAGCATCATGGCATAATAAAATACTGAGATAAGGGGGTGTTTATTCACTGGATCACCAAACGATGAAAAACCAGTGAAGGAACAAGTGTTCCTTTACTGGTTTTTTTCTAAGTTAATGAAAATATAAGACAAACTTTAATTTTCTTGTACCTTTAGTGATGTTCCGGATCAAAAGTACGTTAAAAATACGAAAAACAACTTCTAAGCAGTGAGGGAACAGGCATGTTCCTTTACTGGGCATAGATTTCCCAGTGAATGAACAGTATGTGATAATATATTGACACTTTAATTTTCAATTCATGATTTCAAAAAAAAGTTTAAATTTTCCAAGTATTTACATGGTATAATTTCAATAATAGGCTTGTTTTTAAATATTTGTATGGCTTATAAATTCATAAAGAGCATTAAAAATAACCAAAATTAAGTGTTCCTTTACTGGGTGTTCATTCACTGGTAAGAGCTGTTCCTTCACTTGGTCTTCTTACTACTTGTTATTTGCACCTCCAAAACTTTAAAACAATATTATGTAAGATCTCTACAATTTTTTTTACATCATTTGCAATTAGTAACAAATAAGTTGACACTGTCATTTAACTAAAATTACGAATTTTGAAATTAATATATTTTAAAAGGCAAGCGAAGCTTAAGTGTTCCATCACTGGTTAGTTTACCCTAAGAGCTTTAGATTTTTTAAGCGGACAGAGAATATAATAATTGCTATTTAACTATTTCATGCGTAAAACCTCGTAAAAATCGTCAGTGATTTAAATAATTTAAATGACTTTACTTGTGA